CAACATGAAATTTTCAATCGCAAGTACTTTAATTAGCCAATTATACACTTTATTACTTGCTTAAATTTGCTTTATTTTTTAAACGGGAATATTCATTTATACACAATTTTTGCCTCACTTTTCGACATTTTTTATTACAAATAAAATAATAACGAATAGTACTAAATGTTCGCTCAAGCCGCTACCCCCGCTACCATACTCTGAACTCCTACTTTTCGGGCCGCAGTTAGCGGAGCAGATGAAATTGCTTCGCTCTGACTAGCTGATTATTCACGACTGATTGGATGTGCAATAAAATGGTGAGGATACAATCGCTTGCTTAGGGAGATAGAGACAGAAGCAGAAGCAGCTCTCCGTTCAACAAAACGAGAGAATAGACGAGAGAAAGACGACTGTACGTGATCGGTACGTGATCAGACCAGAGTCGGCAGAGTCAGCCCAACTCTGGTGATAGCGCGGCACGCGAGACTTAAAATTCCGGAAAGGATCGCAACAAATTCTCTCTCGAGTAGCGACCCCTTCTGTGCTGCCGGAACACCGATCACGTGAACTTTCTCGTTTCGTTGATCGGGCCATAAATATTAGGTCTGGGAAAAAGTTCGTGGCATTTTCCCGATAAATGTCGTCAATTGTTAATGACTCGCGAACAACTTATTACAACAATACCATTAAACGCTTCATTTAAAGGTGACACATTGAACGTTATTTTGAGCGTATAAATATCATGGTGGTGCAGTACTTGGAAAGTTGTAGGCGTGTGAAAATGGAGAGAAATAATGAGAAGTTTTGCTATGTTTTACAATATTATTACAACAAAGGGAAGAACGCTGCGCAGGCTTGTGAACAAATTTGTGCTGTGTATGGTGAAGGTACATTATCAAAATCAGCTGCGCGGAAATGGTTCGCTCGCTTTCGTTCTGGTTATTTTGATGTGGAAGACGAGTCATGCTCTGGTCGTCCAGTTACTGAAAAAGCTGATGAAATTGTTGAAAAAGTCCAGCAAGATAAGCACATTAGCAGCGTCGATATTGGTATGGAACTAGGCATTGACCACAAAAGTGTTTCGAACCATTTACATAAAGCTGGATACAAACAGAAGCTGGATGTTTGGGTTCCTCGTGAGTTGAGCGCGGAAAACATGATGAATCGAATCAACATCTGTGATGCGCTGCTGAAACGTAATGAAATCGAGCCATTTCTAAAATGTGTCGTAACCGGTGATGAAAAATCGATCACGTACGACAATCGGAAGCGCCAAAGATCGTGGATAGAAGATGGTGTGCCGTCACAAGCGTTCGCGAATCCAGGATTGACGCTAAAAAAGGTGATGCTGTGTATATGGTGGGGCTGGAAGGGAATCGCCCACTATGAGGTACTTCCAGTTGGTCAGACGATTAATTCTCAACTCTACTGTGAACAAATGGAGAGATTACGCCACGCAATTGAAAAAAGAACGGCCCGAATTTCATAATAGGAAAAGTGTTGTCTTCCATCGCGACAACGCCCGACCACACATTTCTTTGACAACCCGTAAAAAATTGGGAGAGTTTCGTTGGGAAATTTTGATGCACCCACCGTATAGTCCAGACATAGCACCCACTGATTATCACTTGTTCCGATCTCTGCAGAACTCTCTCAATGGAATTAAACTGGCTTCAAAAGAAGCCTGTGAAAACCACTTGATTCAGTCTTTTAACCAGAAACCGCAGAAGTTCTTCATCGATGGCATCATGATTCTACTCGAAAAATGGCGAAACATTGTCGATAATAATGGAGCATATTTGGTTTAAATAAATTCATTTTCACAGTATAAGAAATCCAGTTGAATTTTATTAACAAAACGCCACGAACTTTTTCGCAGACCCAATATTATTGTAGTAAGTACGTATCCCTTACAGCAGAGCCGTTCAGCAGCTACGAGCAAGCGATTCAGCAGAGTAGGACCACATGGTTAGTGTCTACGGCACTAAATCCTATGCCGATCGTCCGATGCTCATTCTATCTCACTCAATTTCAACGGAATCTATAGTCAATCTTTGTTAGCGTCTTCAACCAGTAACGTATCAAGGTGTATTTCCGAATGGCCCCTGTTGCCGATCGACATGAAATTTGGAGGTCTAAGGGAGGATTGGGAGTAGACTCTACATATGAAGTTTTAACTTTGGCAACTGATGCGTTTGGAAGATAGAGAATTTACTAGAGCCAGCGGGTCGCGCCGCCGACATGACGTTACGGCACGGAGAGGTAGTTATAGGCACAGTGGGAATGACTCCCACTCCCAAGCGCCTCTCCTTGCCCAATTTCGCCTCTTGCAATTCATAAAAATTAGAAATAAAAAAAATAAAAACTGTTCAATTACTAGTGGAGACTAGTTTGATCAACAATGTTTCTCTAAGTTATACCAGTTTTATTTTGTTCTACATGTTTTACCTTCTTTTATTATAACTCTCAATTACCTAAATAGTTTCTAGTATTTTGTATTAAATTACTTTAATGATTACATTTATAATAGTTAGGTTATGTCTAGGTTAGATTTGGGTTAGAATAAATATATTTAATAAATAAATAATTTTTGGTTAACATCTCAAAAACTAATAAAAACCCGAAGTTAAAATTTTATATTTGGCGTCCATACACCCCTCCCCCTTCCCTCAAAGCTGGTACTGATCGGCCAGAGGAGCCTTTCGGAAGAATATTCACGTTACTGGTAGGGAATCACACTGGGGGCTAAGGAGTTTACAGCGTTGTCCTCGAAGCTCTTGCTTAGAGACCGCCGTTCGGTGTTTGCCCTGGGTTGAAAATCGCTGCCCGCGCGGTGAAGTTGTTGAACAGCTCTGCCTTACAGGACCATGCGAGTCGACCTATCCGTGGACTGCAGTGGAGTTAACGCAGATCCTCCTGGCAATGAAGCAAGATTAGAGGGAACGGGGGGAATACAGTTACCCCCTTCCTGCTAGTTACGACACTCAAAACGCAGACGCGCATGCAGACTCAACACGAATTGATTGGGGATCTCACCGCAAGGAGGTCGCGAATGACATACATGACACGATGATTGCAAGGTTGAAATTCTCGCCGCGTGTCATATCAATTCAATCAAATAAATCGCACGATTTATTTACTACTTATTATAAAAATGAAATGAATTTTAATGTATTATATACATGATTTTGTGGGAAGGTAGCATTACATTACAGGATGTTATGGAAGAGAGTAGGCTACAATAGTTTGGATCTGTATTGCTGCTCGCTAGGCTGCGAGGTTGCTCGCCACCTAAAATATGGAAGCAGCGTTATAGAAGAGGAAGGCTGGAAGAGGAATGAAGTTTACATCTGGCTTCACTGTTTCCAGACCTGAAGCACTTTTACGGCCTTGGAGGAAGAGTGGGAGAATTTCCTCTTCACATTCGACGCATGCGTGGCAGGGCAACGGCTCGATGCTAGGCTGCTCGGTGAGCATCGTTTGCCCAGCAGCATAAGGGCGTCCCTCGTGTCCGCACTTTCCTGTTACTAGCCAGCAAACTGAAGTGGGGTAATACAGGGTGTCCAAAAAATGTCTCGCAATCTGGAAATGGCGGGTTCCTCAGGTCATTTGAAGCAACTTTTTCCTTTACGAAAATTGTCTCCGAGGAACCATTGATGAGTTATTAACGAAAAACAGTGACCAATAAGAATCGAGTACGGCTGACGCGAGGCGGCCCAGCCAAACAGCGCACGAAACCCAGTTCGGCTGATTGGCTCGGTTGCCTCGCGCCAGCCGAGCTCGCCTCTCATTGGTCACTGTTTTTCGTTAATAACTCGTTAATGATGCCTCGGAGAAAATTTTTGTAAAGGAAAAAGTTGCTTCAAATGACCTGAGGAACCCGCCACTTTCGGATATAACCCTGTAGAGAGGATTGTCCAACTGTGATGTGTAGGCCAGCTTTTTACTACACGGGAGGAGGGTGACTCACAGGAGAAGCGTGAGGACACCCCTATGTTTCAGGCGCATCGCAATCTTGCTGATGCCCAGATCGCGACTGAGACCAACCCAGGGGACTCGTGGTAGAGATAGTACTGGAGATAGCATCCGTGACCCATGTTACTCTATTCGAATACGATACGTCGCGTCAGATGGCGTTAATAGTCGTGTACAATGTAACATGGACTTTCATGGTAGTGCTCTCCCCACTACTACCCCCACCAATAGTCCACTGAGCCGGTTCCAGTCGCGATGTGGGCATACCGAGCACCAGTTGTCCAAAACTATCTTAGTGAGTGCTATAGTAGAAATTGTAGGATGTACTATTAGGAGCTGGAAGGAGTGGTCCTTACCAACAATGGTCTGCTCGTTTTTACTCGTTTACGTTCCGGATCATTATTGGCTAAGTAAACAACGTAAAATACCAAGGAAGTCGGTCGCCCATCCAACCTAATCACCGCGTAACTTAACCAGTAATGATCGAGAATTTGAAAAGTGTAAGATTTTCGGTGGTGCGTTCGATTCTCTTTGCTCCTCGCGTCGTTTATTTCGTTGGTAAGATTACACATTCTTTCCAGCCCCCGATAGTACAAAGAAGCTATCAAACTTAGAAACTAGAAGGAATTAAAAGGAGTATGAAAGAATTAGGTTCGAGAAGCTGTTAACTTAGACATAAATGCTATCGGATGAAGAATGCGAGGTTGCCGGGTTGGAAAGTCCAGTTAGACGTGCATACAGAGACCAAAGCAAACATTATATGGTTGGACAGTAACCAAACACAACTAGGATATTGAAAAAGATATGTGTAAAATTCACTATACTTACAATGAAACGTCGTATGTGCCTTTCCTTGTTACAGGAAAATGGAGGGTTATGTTTGATACAGAATGTTGGAGCAAGGAGAAACATATGAGAGACGATTGAATGAACATGGAAGATTCCGTAATATAACAAGACTTAGTTCAAGCAAATGTTCGTACATGATTCATCAAGCTACGCTGTAATCGTTTTCAGAGACAGATATTGAAGCATACGTAGCATTTGATAAAAAATAAGTGATAATTTATTTATAATGACAATGGTTATATCTCCGTTATACCAGGAGGAAGAGCATTCATCGAAGATTCTTCAGCACTCTTTACAATATTATAATTAGTTTCGATCGCATAATACATGTCATAAAATTGTGATTAATTGAATCATATCGAAGAAATTTTATAATGGAGATAGTTTACTTACAATTCGAATTCGGGTTAACACACCATGATCTAGACTTTGATGCATCAAATTTACACACACCTTAAATAGTAAATCGATGGGACGAAGGTACAACTTGACAAACAAGTTGCTTACACTGATTCGATAACACATTGCACAAGATATAATACATGCATGCAACCAGATAGAAATGAAAGAAGAGAGGAAAGACACATTCACACTGTTCTGTCTAAAACGTGACCCTAGATTACAAACTATAAACAGCAATGAAGAATTTCCGAAATGTGCAAATATCATAATTGCCCAAATATTATGTTCGACCTAACAATGCCATATACATTTATGTATAAATTAGATTCGCTTGTGTAGAAAGATGATTTTAGACTTGATACAGCCATACAATGCTTGGGGTATCATCTAAACCACACTTGCCAAAACACGCAGTAAAGAAGCGTGAACGCTCGATAATGAACTAATCGAGTTAACGCAAGTTAATTCTTTTATTTTCAATTTTTTTTTAAAGTAAAACTTTTCACTTCGAACAGCCAGGTCTACATTATCTTGGTGAAATCTTCAGCTGGCGAGATCCTCAGCTTGTTATCACAATTAGCCCGATTTTGTTCAGGCATCGATACCGTTTTGTCATAGTTAACGATCGATGCGCGCTCGCTACAGCACAAAATATGAACCTCATCGTCGTCTGGTTCTTCGATCTGTTTAACAGCATTCGCCTTTTTTTCCCAAATGACTTCCACCACATCGGCATCTTCCTCCGAGGGTTGAGCAGCAGCTTCCTCGTTGCATGTACGCGATTCGTTCAGATGTGTGTCATCTTCCTTGGCGGAGGTGATGCTATCGGTCGAACAGCCGACGTGCTCTGGTGAAGGCAGGGGCGAGTTGGCGACCGGCTTCTTAATTCCCTGACCGTGCTTATATTTCAAATGCGTCACGAACATCTCCAACGACGAACACCTCAGGTTACAGACCGGACAGGTCTCATACAAAGCCTGCACGCTTGCATCTTCGATCTGTACCTCCTGCACGCTCGCATCTTCGATCTGTACCTCCTGCTCGCTCGCATCCGCCAGCCAATTGCTTGTTGACGAGGACTTTTCCTGACTGTCGCTACATTCGTTCAGGGAACTGGTTGCATCGACAGGCTCGCTATTCGCAGGGGGAATCGACTTGTCTGCTGGAGTGCGTGCTCCAGGCGACGGTGTGTCGCGTTTCTCGTCGCATAGTATCTCGACAGCGCCTTCGGGATCGTTCTGAACCAGCATAGGATGAAGAACCTCGTTCTTCCACATGTTTCTTCCGTGCAAATGAATGATATGCTGGTATCTGGCCACCGCGTTGCCGAATCTGTCGTCGCACCCGGGACACGTGTACTTCAGACGCCCGATGCCAGCAGCATGTCTCTTCAAGTGTTGCTTCAGCAGCTTCAGGAACAGGAATTTCCTACCGCACTGCTCGCAGACATGGTCCCCCGCGTCCGTGTAGTGCGCTTTGTGATAGAACAGCGCCCTCTCGGAATTAAACGTCACCATACAGTCGACACACATCGTGAACTTCTTCCTTGATCGAGCGTTCGAAACCGACTTAGACTCGACGGCATTTTGTTCGACGTGTTGCGCGTTCTGAACATCATTGTTCACCGGTTTCTCGATCTCCGTGTTCGAGTGGAAGTGCATCACATGCATCCAGACATTCGTCTCATTTTCGAATCCTTCACGACATACGGGGCAGTGATATTCGGACAGAATGAAGTTCAAATTCGAGTGTTTTAATTTGTGGACCTCCAGGCGATACAGCTCCGGGAAACGACGTTTGCAAATTAGGCAATTGTACAAGAATTTAGGTTCGCTCGAGTATTCCAGGGAATGATAATTCAATTTTTCATAGCTCTCGAACTTTGCGCCACAAATGGTGCAGGAGAAAGCGTCTGTGGCGCCTTCGGCTGCTTCAGCAGTTTCGTTCGCGATCGTTTGGTTCGTGCTGTCACGATGAGGATCGCTGATCCTCGGGTGAAAGTGTGCTTCGTGAGACTTCAGTTCTGTACTGTCGCGGAACGCTTCCTCGCAGTAGCGACAGTTGTAACAATTGGCGAAGTTGGAGCGGGCGTGGGACGAGCTCTCGTGCTTGCTGAGAATGTCGTTTGTAAGGCATCTTCTGGCACAGTAACTGCATAGGTAATCGCCGTCATTGGTGTACTCCAGCTTGTGTCGACGCAGCTCTTCTTCGACCGCGAAACTCGCGTGGCAAATGTCGCAGTTGTATTTCGGAATCGGTCCGTTCGTCGATACCGCGTTCACGGCCGCTATCACGTAGGTATGATCCCGCAGCTCCTGCGGAGATCCAACACGCGACACCGAATGCACGTGGGATTTATGAGCATGGTACTGTGACTCCAGGGTGAAGCCCTCGTCGCAGACGTCGCACGTGAACTTGTACTGTCTCTTCATATCTTCCGTGTTGTGCTCGAATTTAATGTGATTGTGCAGCGTGTACATCCCGTGGAAGATACTGCCGCAGAACGTGCAGGTGAATATTTGACCCTTGTAGTAGAACATATTGTGCTGGGTGAACCGTTCGCTGGACTCGAACACCAGATTGCACACGCTGCACACTTTGCTCACCTCCCAGTCTTGGTTGGTGTCCAAATACGAGCTGGGAATGATGGATGTCTGACCAGCATGGAAGTGTCCCGTGTGAATAAGAACGCTGATCTTCTTCGAGAAGCCCTGGGTGCAGAACGTGCAGAAGTACTTGAACTCTCGAAGAATGTCGACCGCGTGAGTGTCTCGACGGTGATTCCGGAGTAATCTCTCGCTGGTGAACGCGGTGTTGCAGTTCTTGCAGACGTACGTGGCGACTTTGGAGTAGGTCCGTTCGTGCATGCATAATTTTTGAAACGTTTTGAAGTGCGTGTTGCAAATGGTGCAGGAGAATTTCTTCTCGTCCGCGTCGGAATGGTTTGTGTTGTATCCCCTCGCTAAAGCGACGCCCCTCAGCAACCTCATCGGTCGCATCACTGTCGCCGATTTTGTCTTATAAGGACGATCGTTGATCGCGGCTAACTTAGGCCGTGGAGCGTTGTCCAATGCTCGTTCCGCTGTCGGAGTTCTCTCGGGATTACGCACTTTTTGCGACTGCTTGTTTCTCGTCCTCATTTTATTACACTGTGTTCGGTGCTCCCGCAAACGGGACTTCAACCAAAATCGCTTGCCGCAAGCCTTGCACGAGTACTCCTTATCGGAGGTCCTACACTTGGCCAATTTCTTGTTGCGTTGCCCGTCGCGCTTCGGTAGGAATACTTGGATGCAGTGCAGCAAGAGGTGCTGCTTCAATATCGTCGGTGATGAGAACTTCTCGAAACACACGCAGCACTGGGCGCGCTTGAAACCGGCGTGCCTCTTCATGTAGTGTTTCTGCAATTCAATTTTCGTTTTGTACATAACGCCGCATATGCTCGATATGTAGAACACGTGTTGTAGCTCCAAATGTTCGCGTAAATATTTCTTCGAGGAGAAACATTTCTTGCAAACTTTACACCGAAACAGCGTACGCGAGTTGGCTTTCGCTGTCTCATCGCAGGGTGCATTGGACATTTCTGATGTCTGGACCGATTCGTTAACTTCCACTGTTATGGGCTCGTTCGGTTTGGCTAGCGGAATGTTTAATCTCTTTAACATCATATTCTTTCTCCACATTTCTGCGATATCTTCGTCCTCTCCCACCGAGAACCGAGTGACGTCAGCAGTTCCTGCCTTAGCGGCCATGTCGCATCTAACTAAGTTAAGTTTGCAGTCTTTGCATTTGAATTTGGCCCTCAGTTCCTCGTCCGTCAATTTATGCTGAGGCTTTTTTCTAATCTTCCTAGCCGGCCGTCTTTTAAATCTAATTCTGTTACGAGGTCTTCTCGCGGACGTCGTATTTAAATTATTCGACGGTTGCTCGATGTTGCTTCTTGTCGCGCGTCGCAGATTGTAATTTTGTAACGCGAAATCGCTGAATTCATCTTCTACTTCGACCTTTACTTTCGTATTGAAAATGTGCTGCATCATGTCGGAATCTATGTGTATTTTCACAAATGGTTTGCTTTTCCCTGCAGTGTTGCCATTTGGCGTAGATCTTTCGTCGTTAATCGACGTCCCACTTCGACTAATTGCCATTTTCTTTCGGGCGTACTCTTGAAGATCAGGTGACTTAGGTATGCTTTTCAATTGTCTAGGTACGCTACTTTTCGGTGTTTCCACATGAAAATCAATATTCTGTGTCAGGGATCCATTTTGTTTAGGTATCGCCTTTTGCGGAGTTTCTTTCGCAGCATCAACTTTCTGCGGAAAAATATCTTCTGTTATCTTAGTGATCCCTATAAGAAACTCGGTCATAGTCGTTTGTCTCATTCTTTTGGTGGGAGGACAGGCTTCATTATTTTCTTTCTGTTGTACAGGACTTCTTGCGTGACTATCAGTGCCCTCTGTGAATGGGAATTCACTGGCTTTATCAGTTTCACTGGTTTTACTGGTTTCTCCGGTTTTACTGGTTTCTCCGATTTTACTAGTTTCTCTTGCTTTACTAGTTTCTCTGGTTTTACTAGTTCCACTGGTTTTGCTGGTTTCTCTGCTTCTCGCATTTTCACTAATTTCACCATTTTCCCTCATTTTATCAGCCCTTTTAATTTCTTTAATTTTGCTACGTTCACCAGTTTTACTACGATCATTAGATTCCTTTGCGGAACAAGGTAATAATTCATTGTGTTTATGGAACACGTGACACTGTAAATACGATTTCTTCGAGTATCTCACATTACAGAAACGGCAGCAAAATGCCACGTTTCCGGAGCGACAATACCTTTTGCATCTACTCATCCAAATGCGATCCTTCAAGAAACGAGGTGATTTACATTGCGAAAGACATTTATTACAAGTAGGCTCGACCGCCTCGGTGTGATAGTCCGAATGATTCTTTAATGTTCTGAGCGACTTAAAGTTTAAAAAACACACGGCACATTCCAATCGTCCTTTGATCGGTTCCGGAGACTTAAATCTAACGCACTTCTTCTTCGGCACTTCCAAATCCTCGAACGGAGAACCTTTACGCTTTAGCGTATTCATAACGTCCGCGTCTGATATATTTGTATCAGCACGGTCTTTAGATAATACAAGCTTATTCTCTTTGTTATTTACATTGCCCAGTAGTTGCGTCCTCTGAACAATTGTTTCACCTGTTATGGCAGTTTTTGCATTGGTATTTGCCAGTGGAAAAGTACCGTCCTGACAATTGTCATCCGTGTCACGTGGCTCTTGTTTAATCTGCAGCTCAGCTGTAACATGCTGAAAGCAAATGTACAAACGTTGTTGAACAACCTAACACGCAATTCTCGAAAGGCTCTATAGTACGAAGAATTATTAGTCTTTCTAGATGACGCGAGACAGAGAATAAAACAAAAGACCTATTGATACGATCCACGGTTTCGAAATTTGTCTTGGTAGACATTGTTCTGGACATTTGTCGGTGATCCCACAATACGTCCCGAAAGGAGTTCTTATCTTTGATCGCTAAGACCGATCCCTTTCCTACCTAGCGATTGGACGCAACGAGCAAAAACGGATGTGGACTTTTTTAGCCATATCTGGTCAGCTACCAAAGGAGGAAATTCAGCGAATATTTTCCGTTTATCTAATGTCAATAAAGAACAAATCTAGTCTCATTGTAGCCTTTATTTTGAATGAGATTCTTTCGCGAAACCAATTTCACGAAATGATAGGGACAGAGATGGTTAGATAACGCGATACTACTACGCGTACCCGAGGATAAGGCTTTGCTTCTCGTGATTCTAATTTCTACATTAGTGAATGTATTATTCAATGTTGAACAGAATGACAAAGATATAGGAATAAATGTGTGTACATTCCATTACCGATACCTAGAACTATGGCTGAAGCCGTCATTTTCTAGATCATCGTTGTACTATTACCTCCTGTTCAATGATGATCTAGAAAATGACAGCTTCAGCCATAGTTCTAGGTATCGGTAATGGAATTTACACACATTTATTCCTATATCTTTGTCATTCTGTTCAACATTGAAGTAGTATCTTACTGAAATCTTGCGAACTGTTCAGGTAACTCTAGATACCCTAGCTCAGAGCTGGGCAACTGGTTATGAGCTACCCCCTCCATAAAGCATGGAGTCCTCCTCACTTGCTGCCAATAGTACGTTAGGTCGAATTAATGGAACTGTAGCAAAAGATCGTCTTTATCTTTTGAATCGAACCGAGGCCTAAGACGTAACCATCCTCGCAATGTGGGTACCTATCGCCTTCCCGTTATAATGACCGCAGATTGGATAGAAAAATACCTAACTTATACTTAAGAAGTAACAATCAGTTACCCAGCCAGTTTGGGAGCCTGGCATCAACTGCAAGACAGGAGCTATGCTCAGTTATGTTCGGGGTTATGTTCAGCTATTTGCTGGGAGCCTAACCCACGGCTTTTAGTCCGCGTACAAAACGATGCGCATGACAGATTTGCAACAGTTGGTAAACGAACAGTGGGTAAACCGACAGTCGATAAGTAGGTGAACTACTTTAGGTATATGGAGGAGATGGACGTTATGCCACACTATGACATATGGTCATGTGTATTCTTAATTACTACTATTTATGAATGTAGTAATATTTCATCAATCATGTAGTTTAATCGTTTCATAAGTACTCTGCTCTATCATTGTTTATGCAGTTTTTATCTCCTGATAAGTTAACGAAAGTATGACATAATACTTATTGATTCAGCTAGTAACATATATTATAACAAAGGAACACGTAACAAGAAAATAAGTATAAAACATATACACGATGATATAGTAGAATACACATTAAAATTAACATATATTTCACATGTGTCCATGTATGATATAAAATTATTTAATACAATTTAGTACGATATTTATTTTGGAGTCGTAATCGAAACAGCATGATGTAATACAACATTGCTTATATTACTCTAGATATTCGAATCGTTGCAACGATATATTCTAAATTATGAATGCGTTTGGAAAGAATAATATTCATGTTTACGCAACAGAGGTTTATACAACATATCGATGTATTACATTGCACGTTTTATGTGAAAACAATTATGAAGAACATGTGACAGTTATGAAACAATACAAATGAAATAGACAGAAAATAATAACATAAATAATATAAAGTGTAAAGAAATAATATGGATATATGGTACTCACATTCAGCTTCTCATAGAAGGACACATTCGTCAGGATAGATTCGACTGGGCGTTCGTATACATAAACTCGAGCCATTTTCTTTCTGAGAAATCATATTTATATAAAAAGTTTGCTGAAGCGCAAAAGAAAAGAGTTTAGTTATACTAACACTTAACTTCACTATTTCAAATCGTATTAAAGAACAGATAATGTTTGCTACTTTCAAATTATCGTACAAGTCTGCGTGTGAGACTAAATCCACTAATAGGAATAATCATTTTAAATAATTACACAAATTTGAATATATTCGTTAAACCATTATGTACGATGATAATGCAGAATCATCACTCAATCACTCAAAAACTTCATGATAACAAAATGACCATGGTGATGTCTACAGGTTAAAATACGACAGATGTCCAATGATCTCTATATACGATAATTATATAATGTTATTAAAATACGTACAATAGAAAATGGGATGTCGGCTGACTACAGAATCACTTCGGCATATCTGGAGTTAAAATGGCGAGTTCGCGTCCGGCATATCACTTTATATACGCGTACACGTTCAAGCAGGTTATATTAGCACCTAGTCATACGACACGTCACATCGCAGCGTCCCCACGAATCGACACCGACGCGACCCTCAGAGTCACACTTGCACAGACTCCAGACAAAAGATTTGAATATCGTATCTAAATTTGAATCTTGAATAGTACATTCTCCAATCCAACGCAGTTACATCAGATAAACGTTACAAATTTGGTTAACATTATAAAAACTAAAAAAGGGGCGGTGCAGTTTCGTAAGGTAGATAATTTACCAACGGAGAAATTATTCTACGAACTTAGCTGGAGCGGACTATATTTGCAAAGTCTAATCTTGAACGGACTATATCAGGATAGCGGACCCTACAGTCCAATCAACAAGACAAGCCAGTAAATTAGAAAACTTGCGTAATGTTCACGTGATCAGAACCAGCGACTGAAGTTATTGGCTATTGAATACAGAGCTCACGACCACAGACTTTTGGTTATCCTTTGTCGAAGGCCCCTTTACAAAGCCTGGCAGGCAGCAATATGCAAGAGATCGGTATAGTGTGGCCGATCCTGCGTTGATCGCGTGAACTTGTTCACATTTGCTGCCTCGACTCGTTCGTTCGGACTATACAATCTAAATCGAACGGTCAGCTCGTGAAAGTACCTACATCTTGACGCATGCGGACTCGGTTGACGAGACTCAAGCGCGGTGCAAAGCCAACACTACGCTAAGAATTCGTCCGTTGTATACGCTCTCTGATTGGTCAGCGTTTTTCGTTAATAACTCATTAACAAAGCCACAAACAACATTATCGCTAAGGAAAATGTTATTTCAAATCACCTCAGGAATCGCTTTTTATACCTTTTACATCCTATATACCATATTTCTATAGTACGTACCATAAACAGTATTTCAACTCACAGCTAAAGTGAAATATACATGTAGATACAGCAGTCTGTAATTGAACAGTACATTTTTCAAGTCCGCAATGAAAATCCTCTTAACACGTTAAACGCGGCATCAATCCCTTGGAGCTGACAGTGGACTTTTCGTTTCGGCGGCGTCAGTTCCCAAAGACTGACAGCGACAGTATCAAACTTAAAAAATAATGCCAGCCTGCCGCCACAACGGAAAGCCCAGCAAAATCGGCTCCGCGCTTAACGTGTTAAGGGATAATTTAAAAGCTGATTCGATGTATGTATATAAGAGAGGTCCATATGGAGATCAAGGTGGACCTTGGACTAGATTTGAACCAAAAATTGAAACTATCTATTTATTTCGTGGCGAATCTGTAGAATGAATTCTTTAAACCACTCGATCCTCTCTCATATAATTGAATGCAACAATTCGTAACGATCTACAGTGAGAACGTCACTGGTTATTCATTCACCTTTATAGAAATTCGACGATTAAGATTCCAACGAATACAAACTGTGAGTAATGTAAAATATCGTTTAAGTATTCCCGCGAATTATATATTGTCGACCGAAGAAATAGGAGATAGGGATGTTGAAAAGAGCTAGGGGACTTCGGCCATCTCATTTAGTTTTCATAGGCGTAAATTAAAATAAATTTGGTTGTATAGCAGTTTTGTACTGATAAAGAAAGGTTCCCAGTGTTGACGCTCACTTTCTGATGAGATTTGGCATAGTGATAGAGCTTGTAAAGCTGAATCCAATGATATCCGGTTTTAGGGGCAGATGGCTTATAGTTTTTGAGATAATTAATGTTAAAGTTGCTGAGAAAAGACCAGAATGGCGCGCTGGCTTGCGCAGCGAGGCGCCGCGCGGCAGAAAGTGGGGGGTGCCACGCACGTCGTGATCAGGGAAGCCCGCCTTATTGCAATGCTCGGGACACCCCCACTTCTTGCCACGCGGCGCTTCGCTACGCAAACCAGCGCGCCTTTCTGGCCTTTTCTCAGCAACTTTAACATTAATTATCTCAAAAACTATAAGCCATCTGCCCCTAAAACCGGGTATCATTGGATTCAGCTTTACAAGCTCTATCACTATGCCAAATCTCATCAGAAAGTGAGCGTCAACATCGCGCCTTTCTGAGCATTGCAACTATTCCCGAGCATTGAAATAAGGCGGACTTCCCTGATCGCGTTGTACGTGGCACCTCCCACTTCCTGCCGCACGGCACCTCGCTGCGCAAGTCAGCGCGCTTTTTGGCCTTTTATCAACAACTTTAACATTAATTATTTCAAAAATTATAAGCTGCCTGCCCCCGAAACCGGGTATCATTGGATTCAGTTTTACAAGCTCTATCACTGTACCACATCTCATCAAAAAGTGGGCATCAACCCTGGGTACCTTCCCTCGTGAGAACAAAAACAGCATCTAGACACCATGCCATGTAAAATTCACTTTGAGTTCTACGTTTAACCCTACCGCGGTTGCGTAACGGTATGTGGCAACAAACGCTATGGATCGCACTGGTTTGAGATCCGTTTTAAACGAGGATCGAACAATTAGCGACAGAATATTTAATCATCCCCGAATATTGGAATTCCAGCCGAGAAAAGGGCACGACGTAGTCGAAATAACGCGGTAAAGGGTCACAGCATTAACGAAGCTTCTTTAATTGCTGGAATCCAGGATCGATCGGACGAAGGAATAATTGGCAAACCCGAAGATAAGAACGCAGATAAAACGAGCGTCAGCCAAGGAAAAACGAAGATAGGGGATAAAATAGAGCATCCACTTCCTCGTTGAGCGACGTGGAAACTTCCGTGGTGGACTGTCCAAGTTTTCTAAGTAATTAAAACCACTTAACACGTTTTCGCCTAACTTTCTGGTACCACAGGAAGAAATCGGTTTTAAATCGTTCACCGACGAAAGTGCCGCAATCGCGGCGCAATCATCGCGCTTCTGACTACTTTTAATTACAACATTTGAATATGTTCCACAACATTTGAATATGATTTCTGCACAGCGTCCCGTTGGATCGTGTAGCGGGTCCTTCTCAGGAAGCTCCATAATGCTGGGGCGCAACCTACTTGCGTTCCGATCGATGTTCCTCACGTTGTACATTCAAATTTCGGTGGGACTCTAATCTCTAGAGAATACTCGGGCATTCGACGTTATCCTTACTTGCTGGAAATCGTATTATCCCAACCGTAGAGTGCCGCGTTAGCCGGTGCTAGGCGGCTACTTGAAACGAACCCTGCCGGCGTGATGTACATAGACGATGTCAGAACGATTACGTAACAGTCATAACCCGACGGACACTCAAAATGTTAACCAGTATTACATTTAATTTAGTGGCATTCTTCCGGTGTCCCGTCGACGGTAGAAAACGCGTCTTAATTACATAACAACACGGATGAATATCCGGTCTGCCTGGATGTAAGACTGGGCAGGTTCATCGATGGAATAACTGCTTAGTTTCAGAATGTGAGCTGTTTATTTTGAAAGTGGCATAAGTCACTTTACCGTAATGAAAAGTGGTGATTTTTTAATGTTTATACGTAATTATTGTACTGTCGTAATTTAGTGGGTACGTTTAGGACGAGGAGGAGTGTTAGGCTTAGGAGACCGTAGTTTTAAGACTTTGTATATATGGTAGGCAATAGAAGAGAAACGTTGGCGAAGGCCGGGTCACATGAAAAAAACCCTTGGCGACGAAGAGCCGGCGGATGCGATTGTCACGTTTTTGGAAAAGGCAGGCAGTGGGTCGAAGGAGCGTGTTTGGAGTGGACAGAGTGTGTTCGAGAGTCGTCGAGTGAGGAGCGTTGCGAGTTGTAGAATTAAGTGAAGTAGTTGTAATCCTAGTTGTAGATACGGTACGCGATATTTCCTGTTTTCATCACGTTTAGTTCTTTCCTAATCGATACATATTCTGTATTGTTTAAATATTGAACAATTTCTACATTATTTATACTGAGAAAAACATCAGTATCCTGAGATAACAAATACAAGTAAATCTTCTCGAAAGATAGCATTCATATTTTTAAACGTGTTAAAACGCAAACCCTTAAATATATCGACTTAAAAACAAGGTGACTTATGCCACTTTCAAAATAAACGGCTCGTGTAGCAAACGTTTAAATACATGTTTACAATAACCACTTCGATCGGTACTATTTTCAACAAAGAATATGTCCAAATATTGTCGAACCACGATTTTGAATCCAATAGAGATATTTTCGACAGATGCGAATTTATGTAAAGCCAAAAAATGAGACAGCAGAAATATTATATATATTCTGTTGGTATATACAACGATACTCACACACATAAACACACACACACACACACACACACACACACGCGCGCGCGCGCGCGCGCGCGCGTCTACAGGGGCAATAAATAAAGGTACAAACCCGAGCTTCATAAATGCAGGTACAAGCCCGATCTTCTGAAGGAATAGTATAAAAGGACTGCACGTTCCAGTGCGAGACGCTACTTCCCACAGAACTACAGAGGCGTTCGCCAGCCTAGAAGACGATCAGTCAGACAGTATCTCCGCGACTTCACATAGAGTTACTCTTCTTCACACAAAGTACATTTTATATCCGCTAGGCGCTTTGTTAAACACTGTATCATATTTGTATTGCATTATTAGCAAATAAACAATTACAAATTCCAACATATTCTATTCTATATTACATATATTATATTCTTCTTTCGAGAAATATTCCAATAGTTACTACTTCTCAGAATAAGTAGCCTAACAGAGTCCGAAAATGGAACAGCGTCTCTAAGTACAATGGCCGACACTGTAGGTAGGCTATCCTAATATTCCAGGAGGCGTACGGTTTTGCGAATCGTGATTCCTTATCGTCGGGGCAACAGCTTCGATCCGTGGCAGAGTGCGGCGATCCCTTAGGCGCCGGATTAATGTAAGGAGCGGAATAAGATGGATGGAGCATAATAACGACACCGATAAGGTGGTTATGTCACCGGTGGGACGGGATATCTCGCGTTATTGACGCTGCCTCGAGATGGATTTCCGTGTTATTAGGCGGAGGAATCTGTTCCCGGATACGGCAACCGCGGATTCCGATGTCGCACGAACGATCCCGACGCGGGCTCTCCCCTCGGGGGAAAAAAATTAATATCCTCTCGACGGGAGTGCGCCCGATGGCCAATCAAACTGAACAGAGGGAAAGGGATTAGTTTCCGCTTTCCAATGCAGAGACGCCGGAAGTCGATTCAGCCCTCGCGCAGTATTCGCATCGCTGTTTCGCCTTAAATCCGAAACTCTTCGCGGAAACCGATCCATGCAACGGACAACTCTATTCTTCTTTCGAACGAGCTACCTTAGGTTTTTGATTATAAACCTGTCGAGGATCAAGTTAGCTCGAGTAATGTAATTTCGTATGGTAAATCGAGCTCCGCGCAGGCTCGATTTGTCGCGAAAGGGACTTTCCTGTATCCGACGCAGCTGCCGCTCGCGCAACACACAACGTGCAATGCGAATATCGATCAGCCTCGGAAAAAAAAAATTAAAATATTTAAAATATTATCCTGACATAATACAAATAATAAAAATAAAATAATAAAAATTTAAAATATTATCCTGTAAGTGTGAATACCGAGCGGTCAGCTTTTTTTTTTATTTACGGGAATAACATAGAAACAGAACGCCGCACCAGGACGGATGCATAGGAAAGCCAAGAAAGATGCGTTTACAATTTCGTATCGGTCGGTTGATTCAGTGATCAAAGCTATCCGTGACATCTGTACATCACTAAACAGAGCCTTTAGCAATCGACGCGATGTTGTCAATTTCTGAAACGATTAGATGATTTCAATCGAGCTCGAGCCACGCTTCGTAGGCTGAACGAGAATATAGCGCTGCCGTGTATAGCGGTGTCAATATTGAATGATTCCGGGCGCAAATATGTAGATCAAGCCGAGCGTGATAGAGGACACTGGCGTTTTCTTTTTTTTTTGCAAAATATCTTCTTGCATGCTCGGCTCTTCGGTATTCATCTTTCCCTTTTGCCCATTTACGGTGCTTGAAACTGCGAAGTTCCCGCTTCCCGTCAACCGTGACGAAATATGTAGCGTAGCGTTCCTCTTGTTCGACGCACCGGTTTCAGGAAAATATGCATTTTTCAAGCTCCGGCACTCGAACTAATTCAAAAGTCACAGCGAAACCGGCAAAGTGAAGCATACTGAAGCATAAATTAATATTATATTAATTAATATTATAAACATAAATTAATTATAATTATTTATATTTATAATTATTATTTATATATTTATATATAACTATTTATATTTATAATTATTATTTATGTATTTATATATAATTATTTATAATTATTATATTTATTTTAATATCTTAATAATTATAAGCATTAATTAATATGATATTAATAGCATAAATTAATATTAACCAGATTTTCACGATCCACTGTTCATGCACAGATTTGTCAATATGAATTTTACTAACGATAGATTCCGTGGAAGTTTCTCTTCGACGAATTTCAATAAATGAAATTGGAAAACTTAGGAACTCAGGAACTAAGAAAGTTATTTTGAATATAGCATTATCGAATATAAATGATGCGATTCTTCGAATATTCGACGTTAAAAACTATGGCACATTAATTAATTAGGAACCAATTAACAATTGCTTTTTGAAGTAATCGTAATCGTAATCGTATTCGTCGCGTTCTGCCGTGTGCCCTACGAGCGCATCGAAGTGCTGGCCAAAACGTTACGAGTCTTCTTTCCAATTTGGCTGTTTCGCTCGACCAGCTCTACGCTCACCAATCGTCCTAGCAACGTCGCAATGTTTATACCGCGACGCTCACGTACGCACGCACACGTACGTCGCGTGGGATTAACGCGCGGAAGTCCGTGAGCACCGATCGTCTATTGTGATTTCAGAGGTCGTTCCAAAATTGTTAACCTTCGCGCGGCTCCTACAATAACTGTTAGAAAACAGTTTCTTTTCCTAGAGGAACCTTCTAGAACTCTGTTGTCTGTTTTACTATCTGATGTTTAAACAAAATTAACTAACACAGCTCGAGATCAAGAAAAACTTCCGAAGCATAAATATTAGCTAATCCACTTACACGTGGATGTTATACATATACTCTCCATACTTACAAAAATTGTTTTCAGAATTTATTTTCTACATTTATATATATATATCAAAGATATCAATCAAAATTAATTAGAAGTTATTGCTTAATAAATGCAAAAAATGTTTAATCACCTAAAGTTAAGAATGATTATTTTTTAAATATTGTTAGTGAAAATTTCATTGTAATACCTCCATTGGCTCGAAAGTTATAAGAAATTATCGAGCAGCTATGCATCTCTAGATAATACCATGTATGTAACGAAACCTGTACAGCAGATACCGACCTGCGGTCGGTAACGGAAGCCATCGGTAACGATGAGCGCGACACGGAAATATATTTAACCCTTAGCGGACGACGACTTTTTCGGCCGAGTCAGGTAGCAGAACGAAGATAACGAAGTCTAACATAAACACCGATTGTCGCCTCTCACTCGCCATTCGTCCTGCCGTGCGAAACGCCGTGGCGACCGAGTTCATTTCTTCTTTCGTTCCATCTGAATTTCTTTCGTCGTAACAAATTGAAATAAACCATCAAAGAAGAAATATAAAAGTTCTATTAAATCTCAAAAAGTATAATTTATTTTTTAGTATATCAATTTTAATCCAGACTAATTAAAATTAAATTATTTCAATTCACCGGAGTTTACAAATATGGATATACGTACTAATATGATAACACAGCTCGTTTCTGATAATAATTAGTCTGTAGATACACGACGCTATCACAGTGGAATCTGGTGGTGATAACGAAACTAGCGTGTAATTGACATGATTGTTGACCAGTGCTGCCACTCGGCGAAGCTGATTTTTCGGTCGAATTAGTGTATAGAGATTCCATTATCATAGACTGTTGGCGACACCGTCGCCATTTTGTACTGGTGTTTGGAACACGAAAATGTTGCTTGCCTCGATATTTCTCATCAACTGAAAACCGAAGCGTTGCGTTCACCGTGTACCTGAGAAAATGACGCAGTTCCTGCCGCCGAACCTGTTGGCCCTGTTCGCTCCACGGGATCCAATACCGTATTTACCACCCGCTAGCAAACTTCCACACGAGAAGAAGAATGGAGGCTATATCGGCGTTGGAGCATTCCTCAAATACTTCGAGGTAACGTGCTCATAATTTATCTTTTATCTCTGGTCTCTCAAAGGCGGTATTCCGATAATACCATATAGCACTTTTATGTGACACGTTTCACAATTTTTCCGGAAGTTCTCCAAAACTGATAGAAATTTCATTTATCCACTATAGGATCCCAAAGACACTCCACCACCGGTTCGTGTGGAGACCAGGGAAGAACGTCTTGAACGAAGGAGAAGAGAACGTGCAGAACAAGTGGCATACAAACTTGAACAGGAAATCGCTGTGTGGGATCCTGCTGGCATTCCAAATGTAACAGCGGATCCTTTCAAGACGCTTTTTGTAGCACGAATAGTAAGTATTGGTGTACCACGATGGGATAGAACGTATCGTAGTTGTTGATTAGAATGTTGAAAATGACTAGTCCATCCTTAACCACTTGCGCTGGCAAAAAATTCACCGACGCGTGTACCAGACTGTGTTCCAGTGTAACTCACTGGGAGGCGTCACACAGTGTTCGATGCCTCAAAGAAATCGGGGAAAGATTTATATTTTCTGAACTAATTTATTTTCGACCTAGGACTTTTAATAGTTTTTTGAGGGGAATATAGAGCATCGATTGATTATAAAATTATACAAATATAAGTGCAATGATAATCTGTGCTCTGGCACAGATTATCAAAGGTGGGCAAACAATCCCACCCGATGTGCCATGCACGTCGTTTTTGTTTCTGTGACGAAAGCATTACGACGTGCGTGGCACGTCTTTTCAGCGCAAGTGGTTAATAAATATTCTTCACTTTTATTATTAACCCTTTGCAGTCGAAGCTATTTGAATTCGAAATCCAGATCATGACTTCTGATATACAGTGTTTCTGTTTTACTTAATTTACTGCGATTTATGCATATGAAATTGAGCCTATTGGCAAGTACAATGCAATTTTAACAGTGTTTGGAAAATATAAAAGAGTCTGATGCTCTTGGAACGATTTTGAAAAATAGTGGCGCCTCAGAGTCGCCATTTGAGTGCAAAGGATTAAGTCACAATAATGAAAGTATATTGCCTTATTTAATTTCGTAAAGATGAGAATTTTTTTAAATAAGAGCAAAATATTCTTAGAACATAGTGGTCAAGAATTAGACCAATATCTTAAATTGTAGAGAAAAAATATATTCAGAGAGTCTACAAAAGGATAAAGAAAGTGTCACTGACCTTAAAAACATTATCATGAGATATTTTCTGATATAACACGATCATTGAAAATCTTATTAACAGACTTTTGATAAATAAAGTGTTAATAGGGAGAGTCAACAGTCCTGAATGTCGACAGACTACATTGTGATAAATAAGGAACTTCACGAGTACATTTAATTTCCAGAACTATGATACATCAGAATCTAAATTGAGGAGGGAGTTTGAAGTGTATGGTCCAGTAAAAAAAGTAAGCGAATAATATAGCGAAAGAATTTATTTACTTACAATTCTACAGGAACACACCAATGAGACTTTCATATTTGTTTGCAGATAGTGGTAATTCACAATACAATAAATGGCAAGCCTAGAGGATATGCTTTCATTGAGTATGAGCACGAAAGAGATATGCACTGTAAGTAAAGCTCGAGAAACATAATCCCCTGTTGAGAACCTCAGTGAGTCCATAGTCTGGAATATCACCTTACTTAGCGTCACTTCCAGCTAGATATAGTGGGGCAGGGCTATAGTTAGGCTACCTATTTTCATTGGTACTAAACCAGACGGTACGGGGGGGCCCCGCCATACATCCATGCAGGATTACCATTCTGTAAATGCATATATGGTAAACGAATCAACTGAAAAACGAAATATTGGCTGTCTTGATTAATGCAGTTTTTATCTTGTTCTTGGTACAGCGTGGTGGCCGCTGCCGGCAACTAGTGCCGTTCACTATTCCATGCAAAATCCCTGAACCTGCCTGATATGATAGGTTTGTATGTGTGGTAAGATCCAACATACAACAAAGTTTGTTAGCGTCTATGCTTACCCTATTTATCTTGTCTGATTTTGTTAAAACTTGCGGTTCGAGTTTACGAACCTCTGCCGGGGTAGATAACGTTCGGATAGCAGAAATGGCCCGCGCTCTTAAAGCGCCGGGAATCGCCGGAAGTCTTTTTCTCCCCGGTTTTCGCAATAATTTGTTTGGGCTGAAATTTCTTTTTTAAGTTTCAACAACACGGTATTGCAAAAGAAAAGAAAAAGAAAAGAAAGTTAGCATTCTACATTGAAATTGATTGGTGGGCTTTTTTAGGAGAAAGGTTCAGGGACACGCTCTGCAAGCAGTTAGCATTTTGCTCCTGTAATTACCAAAGGTAGACTACCAGACATCGTAATATCAAGCTACACGTAGGAAATTCACTCGATCGTTCCTCGAGCAATGAAAAATTTAATCGCATATCTCTTGTCACCACATCGAAAGACAACATTTAACATCTACATACATCATTCGGTAACACAAAGTACACTCTGGTACATCTTGGTTGTAGCACCTGTATTTTATACTTTTTCATGCTTTTTTTTTTTAAATTTTTTTTCTTAACAATGGGAGAATAATGATTCTGTATTCCTAGGATAAACTTCTATTCGTCTCGAGTGCTGAGCGAATGTCGGGCACCGTTTGTGAGGAGTATAGAAAAAGCAAAGAATGTGTTTTCGTTAGGTCTAGTACCAACAAAATGCATGTTTGAAAGACTGATCGATTATTGTTTCTCGAGCATATCTTATTTCGTCGTTGTTTTCGTTTTTACGATAGTTAGTTTCTCATCTTACTCGGTGGGTCATCCAATCATTCAAGTCCTCGAACATATCAATTTCGATATAGAATACTAATTTGGTCCGAGGGCCAATTCCTTGGACGTTGTGTGCACACAAGCAAAATCTTAGCCGCGACCTTTTTTGTCAAAAATTCGTTGTGTAGTACGTTCAACAAAAATGGTACAAAGAAAGAGTACGCTACACTTTCGTCTAAACGAAGTTCCCCGTGTAAGATGAAACAGAAAAACAAGAGTAGAGAAAGAAAATAAAAGAAAACTGTTAGTCAAAGGAAATTCGTCTCACGAAGAAAGCTCCCCAAGTGTTGCGCTCACTTTTCGGTGAGTCTTCGTCGGATTATGGTCTTTTGCAAATTCGATACCTTCGGTACCCCATTTTGGGGCCAATGGCTAACAGTTTGCGAGACGTTAACGAACAAAATCGAATTGCTGCATTTTTCATTCATTTTTCTGTTGTGTTTATGTTACATCTGTCGTATTAAATAACCCAGGACCATATCGACAAAATATTTTTCACAGTGATCTTACTTTAATATCTTACTAGAGACGCTCAGGAACAGTGGAAGCCATTCTATTGTTGAGCTTATTGGCTGGTTGCCTATGGTTGGTGGTAGTAGATACATGGGGCCCGCATGTACGCGACGTTAGGGGGGAAAACAAGTTTCGTATACAGAGATCATTTCAGAAAAATAAGCTGGCACTCGATGCGAAGATCTTCAGAACTATGTTATATCCCGAATCTCGGCGGTTCAATCACTTCTTCTGGCATTGTTATTCAGTAGGAAATGATCAAGTTTCCCTTAGATATAGCGAACCGTTAATATCTTGTAAACTATTAGCTATCAGCCTCGAAAATGTCGTACTGGTATAGTGCTGCAATCGGTCGATGGACGTTGAAGAAGTCTGCGCAAGACACTCGGTCAGCTTGCCTCGGGAACGTTTGCGTTAACTATTAATTTAATGAACTAGAGTAAATTACAAAGTAAAAAGAAAGTAAACGATACATAGTATTTATACATCATAGTATACTTGCGCACACGGTTTGGTCGTAAGTAAAAGTATGAATGAAAAGCGCACCAGGTAAATGAAAAGTAAAACTTCTTCGGAGACATTGAACGAACATATGAAGACTGGGCACCTTCCCAATGAATAGCATACGCGCTGGCCTACTCTATGCTCGCGAGTCTCTCTTACGAGTTCATTTCACGAATTAAACGTACCTCTAAGATTTGTGTTAACAATTCCGTACGTAAGTAGCCGCGGTAGGTATTTTTGTATCTGCTATACTTTTTTTGAATCTTTATCAACACTTGTAGATTTAAGGTAACGAAAACAAGTTCCGTACATTTTATTGCTGACTCATGGGCCGCGAGTGTTACGGTAAATCTCTCTCTTCCCCTCGGTCGTGTTTTCTCTCATCCAATCGTAGAAGAACCTGGCGACGATATTTTCCATGCGTTCCTGTAAATTTTCTGGAAGCTCTCTCCTTTGGTCGTGAACCGGTTCGGGACCAATCGTGAGAACAACGCGCGTTACAGACCGATTACGGACGTGATCAGGAATAACATGTGCCGATACCTTACCAAAACGACCACCCTAACCATCTCCGCGAGAAATCTGTCGAATCTCATCAAAAAAAAAAAGAAAAACGAAGAAAAAAACGTTATCGGCAACCGAATCACGCGTAGGTCTCGTCGATCGGATAAATCCTTCGATGCTCTTTCGTCTATTCGGATGCGGTCATTGAAATTGCACAGTAAAAAAAAAGACAAAAAACGAACAATGCGTTTCGCACAAATTGGCTCTCATTCGACGAGGCGTCCTCCTTAGCCGCGACGTTCCCACGAGAGTTACAGTTTTTAAATAAGAGCAGTTTCTCTCTTCAGTGAAGAAAAAAAAAAGAAACGAAGAAAAGAACATCTTTTCTGCCACCTAAAATTTGTTTCCCTGGGATGGTAGAAGTCCCATAGTGTATTTTAAATAGAGCGTTCGACGGGCCGATCAATTGGTAATTCTGTATCGGTACTTTTAGCTGCTTATAAGCATGCGGATGGTAAGAAAATAGATGGTCGCAGAGTGTTGGTCGACGTCGAGCGGGCCAGGACCGTGAAGGGTTGGCTACCTCGTAGGCTGGGCGGTGGGCTTGGTGGCACGAGAAGAGGCGGCCCCGACGTCAACATTAAACACTCCGGCCGAGAAGATAACGAAAGGGAACGGGAACGGTATCGTTTAGAGCGGGAGAGGGAGACTTCTGGACGCCTCGACAGAGACAGGTAAGTATCGCTAATTGTCTTTCGTCATTGTCAGGTGGAAAATTGCTTAGACATGCGTCGCATCATAAAGACTTTTCTTTGACTTCTTCATTCATAAATGCTTTCTTATCGTGATAATTGCTTGGGGAATTGAAGAAATGCTAATCAAAGTTCTTTACTGAAAAATTAATGTAGATATTTGAAGAGCTTAGGTCACCGAAAGGCCAGAGAAATGTGCAAGATGTAGGAAACGTGATCTTGCAATTGTAGTGGTAACGATTTCGCATTGAAGTTGATAGCTGACGGAAGATTTTTTTGTTGATTTCCACAGAGATCGCGATCGCTTGGATAGAGAACGTAGAAGGTCTCGCGATCGCAAGAGAAGGTCGAGGAGCAGATCTCGCGATCGGAAACGCAGACGAAGTCGCGATCGGCTTCCCGATCCTGATATTGAGGAGATACAGAGGGACGAACGACCGCGCGACAGAAGAGACCGCGATCGTGATCGCGATCGCGACCGTGATCGCAAGAGGAGGCGTTCCAGGAGTAACGATCGTGACCGTGATAGGGATCGCAAGAGGGATAAACGCGATCGCGACCGTGAGCGCAGAGATAGGAAAGATCGAGGTGATCGTCAGGATGAAGACACGAAAGAAATTCGAATTAAAGAAGAACCTTTGGATGGTACGTATCTCGTTGAAAGTAACATTTTAATCCCTTGCCGCATCATTTTCTTCATAGTTGCAATGATAAGCACCTTCCCGATTGTAATAATTTTTTGGAAAAGAAAATTTATGTTTCTTGTGTGTCTATATTTACTGGAATGATTAAGTATCGATCAGAAGAGAATTGAATTTTATTTCGGCTCAAAAGAACGGAATAACATTCTTACTTGATAGGATATTACCAGAAATCTCCGCTACGAGTCTGACTCGTTAAAGTACAAATAACCTTGTACAATTTTTTTTTAGAGAAACTGTACGCCATATTTTTTGCAACAAATTCTTTTAGGCTGCATCATCTAGTTTTGTTGTAATAAATTCCTAAAGATGATCTTTCTAAAAGATTATTTCTGTGATTTGGTGGTTTCGTGGACATGTTCTGAGGCATTCGATTGGAACTTTTCAGATTATCCTGACTACAGCAACACCTTCCAATCGTCCGGATCCTATTTCACGGCTGTAAAATACGAGGACGACAACGAGCAGGAAGTGGAAGAGAAATACAGGATCCCGGAAGGTCGTCCCGATCCCCCTCCCTACAACAACTACGATTCTGTGCAAGATTATTGATCTCGACGAATATTTCATGTAACATTCTGTTCTGTTACCACGCACGATGAATTTACTGCTATTATTGATAACAAATATTGTATTTCCTACTGTTGCTAGTGTAATACCGAAATATATTCGACTGTGTACTCGTGTATCTGGTCGCTCGCGGTTCCCCGTTAGGTGACCAGATAATACGACGAGGATATTTGCAGGGAAACCAGGTGGTTCGAAAGCAGGAACCGATTTCTACGCAGTTATCTCCGCATTCCGGTTGACAACACCGGCAAAGAGGAAACGAATTTTTGTATATTTATGGTCAGCACGGAGGCGCACTCCATCTCGGAAACTTGGAAAAATGAATTTAGACGCTTTGCATATATTGTTAGAGATCCATTCGTGCGGGCGAGCAACGATTGAATTTCCTCTTGTAGCAGTCACCGCGTGAAAACCTCGCAAAACACAAAACGAGCCCTGGCAGAGGCTCTCTCGGGGGCCAGGTTCGTGCAAGTTAGGCAACTTGATGACCGCCGTCCTCGTGATTCCAAACTTCTGTATGTGTACATAAACTCTAAACGAATCGTATATTACACGAATTTGATTCTTTCATGACTGCTGCATGTATATTTATATATATACATATATGAATAAAAATAAACCACGCAATTCGTTTGTTAACTACCCTGGCTGCCTATTTCTCCGCCGCAGTGTCATGTTTCAGCAGTCCGACAAACATTAATTGTCGTTAATTCGATTACCTTTTGGACCGATCAAATTGTTCGACGGTTGTAAATACTTCTGAAACGAATTTGAGTCAGTCGATGGCCGTTATAATAAATTTCACAAACTTCTTAAACCTGCAGAATTATTAACGTGTAGTATTATATTAATATTTTTACTGGAATTTAGAATCATGGTCATCTTTTCTTTTTTGTTTTTACTACGAACTCTTGTCGGACACGAACAATGTATAAGCAAGGTTCGTGGCAGAAGAATTATTTACAATACATATTCGTGTTAATGCACCTGCGATCATGTGCCGGACGTTGCGGTATCGAGCGGGAGTTATTTTTTGTTATCTTCATCGTGAACGGTCGGCTTCAACGCGTATTAACTGGACCAAATCATTCCGGTCTCTTACCTGTGCCGTGGATGTGACGCGGCGTGCCGATACCGGAGGCATATAAATAGTGGAAACTTTCAAGAAAATCAATTCGTCAAGCTACTCTCTCTCTCTCTCTCTCTGAATAAATTTGTCAGGCAACGGTCGATCGATCGTGTTCACAACTATTTTATAAATACATCCTGGTCATTTAATAATCGTTACGTAATGCAGAATAAGTTTAATCTACACACGTGATGTAACTAACACGTGAGTAACCCTTCGTCCGCTAGATCGTCCTATGTTTACCAAACTCGATTCTTTGCAACCCTTTTTCTTATCAAATCCGAGCAGAACGCGGGTAACTTGCGAAAGATTTAAAAAATACACACAAAGATTTATTTATACATGAATCACAGTTACAAATATGTATCGCATGGTAGAAAATGTGTTTTGAGTTTTGATTGCAAATTTATTATTCATGTGAACGTGTTTCTAGCGAAACTGAAATTACGATTCAATTGTTCCATGCTGGTCGCGGATGTTATAAATGAAAAGATATTTTAGAAGCCGCCTGTCCTCTGCGGTTTCGGCCGGATAAATCGTTTACCGTGACCACTGAGTTCATTTGGACCCGACACGGTGCGAAACAAACGGACGATTTACCGATTATTTAGTTTCAATCACTTAGGCTAACGTTGCATAAACTGTACAACAACGAGTATTAACAGCAACTGACACTTTACGGTCCGCGTGCCACGTCCTGATGCATGGAAAATCTAGAGCTTTGAATTTCAATTAATACGCGACCGTGGGATCGATTTGTTCCAAAAATACAATACAATGATTCGATCATGCGGATGTCCCGTTTCAACATTCACTTAGTTTTATGTTTATGTATCAAGGAATAAAAAATTCTAGTAAAATCTATACGTTATTTTGTCGTACAGATTTGTTACAGTACCATTTATTACAGCTCAATGATCAAATGTTACATTTACCATGTGCTTACGTTTACTCGAGTGCTGAAATATTGACTACAAGATAACAGATCGTACTTAACCCCTTAACTTGTACGCTCGAGTTAATTCGAGCGCGCTAAACAGGCCAAACCGAGCACACTCGAGATAATTCGAGCGGCGTTGTACTTTATGCTGCTACAATTTTTCACACTCGACTATAATCGAGAATCGAAGATAACAATGTGAAAGCAAAGAAAAAAATCGTTTTATTGATATTTATCATTTACATGGGATCGTAAGCTATAACACTTATTTATTCAAGAATAAGATATAGCCTTTTTCCGTGGAACAAAAGCGCAGTATATCAAAATTCTCGACCAAAAGAAAAGTTGAATCAGGGGCGGTAAATTGACTTTTTTTTGGTCGGTTAAAAAAAAAAAAACTCTACGTTAAGGGGTTCATAGGTTGTCACTAGAAATCTTCGGAGAGAGAATAGGTTTTTCTAGCACTTGCGTGCTATCATGCTCGATTTCGTAATTTAATGAGAATATATTTTAGAAAACAGGATTTCTTCGCAAAATTTAGTATGCAGATTAATCGGCTAAAACAGAATATGTTTTCAAATGTAAGCCAAATTCTAGTTTTCGAAAGCAACAATCCAAACGAAGATAGAATGTTCATTCTATGACTGAAAGATTAGTCGAACGACGAAGATTCACAGTACATTCGACGAGGGATTCGTTGCCGAATATCCTCGCCACGAGTTCATCTGATTATTCGACGTCGGTGGAAAGTGGGAAAGTCAAAGCAGCGCCGGCAGGATTAATTAACGCCCATGCTAGATCCGTTAATCGATCGACGAAAATCCGTCGGTGCAGCGGCCGTGACAGAGAGCTAATAAACGGGCGCAGCTGCAAATTGGAAACGAGACGAGCGTCTCGGCGCTATATTGGAATCGCGCGATTCGTCGAAATAAAGATTGATTAAAAGCGGTCGATGGCTGTGTTCGCCAAGCATCAGGCCGCTCCTTATACCATTCGAAACGATGTCGCAGCCCTCCGCCCAAACTGGCCCTGCCGCATTAAACGCTCGCCTCCCGCCCGGAAATTACAATCCACCGGCAATAACTCCGAATCGCTTCTGATTCTCCGCTATCGTTCGTCCCTCGAAAATCCTGCAAATTGCGAGCTCCTCGTCCCCCGCTCTCGCCCCTGCGAACAATCCCCTCGACTTTTCGCGATGTTTTCTCGAGTGTCGCCATTATCGAGGCTCGTCGATACAATTCCTTGCGAGACCCTTACGCAATTTTCTTGCAAATCGTCTCGGATATTCTGCAAAATTATTTCCCTGTTGTTCGACGTTTAGCTAGCAGCGAAAAATAAGGTAAGTTACACTTTTCTAGAACTTCTGCCTTGAAAGAGATACAATTGTTGATGTTTGGTGGATATTTAGAAGCAATGTCTAAATGTAACGAAAGTTTCAGTACGATAACATACAGTAAATTCTCCCTAATTCGCGCTCAGATTGCGCACAAAAATGGACAATTTGGGAAAAGAAGGTACGACTATTTGAGCATTGCGGCTCGTTTTTATAGTTACCGGTTATCAACGCTATAAAGACGAGACGCAATCCTCCCAAATTGTCCATTTTTGTGCGCAATTAGGGAGACGAATTAGGGAGCAATTACTGTACTTCTTTGTTCTCAAATGTCTACACTTTATTCGTCAATTTGTTAAACACGAATGTGTAAAATACACAGCAACTTCGAAACTCTCGAATTGTATTTCCAATGTCATCAAAATTTAAAAGCACGATCTACGAAGCAATTAACGCTACACAAGTTACAAATGAAGAAGATGAGCAGTATATAGTAGAATCTCGTTAGCTGCAACTTCGTTTAGTGCGCATCACGGCAATCTTCACCACGAGTACCAGAATTTCCGTCTACTGCAGTTAATTCTTTCCAATCGTCCCTCAGCTTCTAAACAAAAATGGACAATTTGGAAAGAGAATATACAATTATTCGAGCCTCGCGGCTCGTTTTTATATTAATATAATTTTTATATTATATATAGGAATATAACACATATTCCTCTTTCCAAATTGTCCATTTTTATTCACAAGCCAAAGGAGAATCAGGGAGAGTTTACTGTAATTCGTTCGGCGACGGCTAGATGGAAAAACAATAGAAAATCGTCACTACAAGGAACGTAAAATAATCGATTATGTCTCTCGTTGTGCAACTTCGCGTTTTCGATACCAATCGGTACAACGAGCGAGATTTTACTTATCGCAACCTCCAGACAAGTTCAAGAAGATCGAGATTAATTTCGTGGATTAATGCTGTTCGGACCTGCATCCGAAAGTGTTGGACCTTGAGAGCCGATGTTTATGATTTCCACGACAGGTGAATCCATCGTTGACGCGTTCCATGAAGGAGATAGCGAAGGACGGGGAAATCTCTCTGCAAAGAGGTCCTTTATCTCCGGCGAGTAATCCCGTTTAGAAAGATTAATCGGTCGGCGACTTTGTTCGCGGAAGCCCCGATACGGGGAATAATCCGCCGCGGGGGCCGGGCGGGACGGATCGCATCGGATCGAATCGACGGTGAACTTGCACGAAATGGAATTTCCGTGGCGCTCGAGTCACAGCAGTCGGATCGCAATGCTGTATCGCGGAGTCACGGATGCCTCGCGAGCACCGTGCACCTCGGGGCGATACTTTACTGGCCAGTTCTCAAAGGGAAAAAGTTCATGGAATTTAATGGGAAGGGGGCGGGGTGGGGGCGGAAGGAAGGGTGCAGGCGAAGGAGCAACGGCCGAGACGTCTAGCGAACACCGAACTTTCCGCGAAAGGTGATTGTATCGGACGAAATTCTGGTTCGTCAAATTTTGTTACTCGTCGTTCTTTTTTCTTGTGGTTAATTACTTTGCCGTAGTTTTCGGTTTCACAGCACAGAAAAGTTTGTCGTATCCAGTTTATACAATGCTTACGCTTATGTGTATGGACAGGGAAACGTTTGGTATTTTTTGCGTCAGATGGTAACGACAGCTTCGATTATGTTCTTTAGCAATAAACTTTTCATTTTTAAATGTTCTCGGAAGGATTACACCTTAATGCCCATCCCTGCAATTCTCTCTGTCAAATGTTTATTCGCTGTAATTCTGGACTAAATTACTATTACTGCCTGAAAACAATTGGAGTACATTTTTTGAAAGCCGTATAAAATAGAAAAATAAATAAAATAGAATATATATATAATAAATAAAATAAATAAAATTACAATATAAATAAATCACAATACTTAAAACTTCTCTTTTAAAAAATTCCCGAAGATTCCACTCTCGAGCGCCAATCAATAAACTTCTTTCCCGAATGCTTTCACATACTGCCATCGCTGCAACTCTAGACTAAAGTACTATTATTGCTTGAGAAAGTTGGAGTACAGTCTTCGAAAGCTACTCGATGACCCTATAAAATAAGGAATCGCAGTACTCGATACAACTCTGTTAAAAAATTCCCGGATATTCCACTCTTGAAGGTTAATATTATCCTTTTTAGGAAAATTCATGGTAAAAGAATAAAGGGAACGGAGAATTGGATCCCGGTGCTCGAATATGCTTGCCGCAGATGTCGAGACATTATGTGCATCCGCGACATCGTCCAAAAAAGCATGATCAAGAACGTGAGGTCCGTTTCGAATCCAATAGCTCGGTAAAGTTCGCGTACGAAATGCTGGCTACGGTGTTTTAGTTGGACGTATCGGCACGCCGCATCTTTGATCATTGTTTGCGGGAAGATTAATTATCCTCGTTTACGGATCGATCCGACGCGGAGCGGCGGTGCTAGTCAGCCCTGACGGGTATCCCGGAATTCTCGCGCGGCCATAAAGACCCGCGCAGCCGGGGAAAAAAAGAGGATCGAAGAGGAACGCCGGCCACGGTAATAACTAGAGCCGCGGATTATCCGTTTACACGTGCAATTAGCAATTCCGTTTACGATAAGCAGACACTTGGAAATTCGTTTTTAAACTTCGCCGCCGCAAACGCTTAAGCGATTCCCGCGGCGATCATTTTCCCGCAGTTTTCACTTCGGGATTCAACGAGCTGCGATTCGGAACGCTGGCTGTGCTGTTCGCTGTCAGTGGTTTCTTTTTCTGGTTCAATGTTTTCGCGGATTGATTTATGAATGCCGGCACAAAAGGATACATTCCATAAGAATTAGCAAAACAGCTCGTAGTCCGTAATTTATACAATTTAGGTCGTTGTTTGCGTAAACGTCGCGCTGGAAACCCGCGTGTGATTCTATAAAACGAATTACCATTTTCGCCACTTTCGCAGGACGCCTGGGTCCAAAGCGTAAACGTTTGAACGTGACAAATTTAATTACGAAAAGGGTCGGGACTCGAAAAAGTAGCGGGGCATCGCGGGTAATTAAAAGCAATTTCGTGATCGCACGGACTCATATTGTTCGGGACGGTTACAGTTACGGGACGAAAATGCGATCGAAAATGAGATCGCGAAGCGGACGACGAACACGCGAACTGCAGCTCGTGAAATAATATTAGGACGAAAAAGGTGGGTTAATTAATAAACGGACAGAACCGGGAATGAATGTAATTAACGTGGTGACAGTGAGCGCGAACAGCCGGGAAAGGAAGTCGGAGGGACCATTAGCGAAAGTCGCGTCCGAGACGGTGGAAAGTCTGTTGTATCGGAAACTGTTAAAACAGTAAGGACTCATCTACAGGGTGTCCTCACGAAATACCAATCGACTCTCTCATTTAGAAGATTATTAGTTGTTGGTTACGAGAATCTTACAAATGGAAGAACAATCACAACTAAGTTTGAAAGTACAGCAATTTCTCCCCAATTCGCGTTCAGATTGCGCACGAAAATGGACGATTTGGGGAGAGGAGATACGATTTTTATAGTTGTATAGTATTTGAATATTATACACTATATAAATCTTTTTTTTATTTTTTATTTTATTTATATGTATATTATATTATTATATTATTATATATATAGTATTTTTATAGTTACCGATTGTCAACAACTATAAAAATGAGACGGAAGGCACGAATAATCCCCTTCCTAAATTGTTTATTTTTGTGCGCGATCTGAGCGCGAATTAGGGAGAAATTATTGTGTATTACTCACTGTCACAAAGTCACAGTGAAGAATTTTCACACTCGGTAACGTACGATCGCACTGAACGGATGGATTCTACGCTCGATATCAGTTATCATTGCGTTTTATGAATTACATTCTAACGGCATCAATTTGATCAGCGTTCGAAGTGCGTAACCCGCCACAGCATCGATAAACTTCGAAATACTGTCCACATTTTGGCGTTACGTCGGCTTGAAATTATATATCGGCGAATATTTAATATTAATTGTAATTAAACTGCATCACGCAGCCAAAGGAAAAATCAATAACACCCGCTTGCAAATTAGCTTGGCTACACAATTTATAGGGTAACGAGTGCCGGGCGCAGATTCGTGAGTCCCAGCCGTGAGAAACTGGTCTGACAATGAGTTAAGCCTTGGCTAGTATTGTTTTCCAAGCGGGATTCCAGCAGTAATAAATTTCAAGTAAATTTTTCACATGCTTTTGCCAATAATCGAGTCGACTGCTGTAACGATTCTTTGCGAGGTCAATTTCAGAGATGTACAAAATGGATTCACCCTGTTGGCAAAATTTCAAATAATATAATCATCGTTCCTTCGAGCACCTAGTGTTCCAAAGGAAGCTTACAAAATGGGGATTTCGTTTACAATTTTGGATGTTGCAGAATTCATCTTCGATTTGAGAAAAGAAAATACTGTTGTATTTAACTGGATTCTTTTAGACTTGTGCAGAAATAGATTTTAAGATAAACATTCGTACGTATTGTACTTGACAAAATTGTGCTACCATCTTAGACTTGTTCTACTGCAATGTATCTTGATAACTTGACTGCAGCAAAATCAAAATTTCCTCCGAAAAACAGGTGTCACTTGAGTATTTATCTCTTTCTTTAACAATTTGAACAAGTTGAAAACAGTACATCGATATCCTTCGATTATTTCAATTCGTCGACTGCTTTCAATTACGCTTGCTTATATTTGTCATTGGTACAAAAAATCCGCAGGCTATTGTCCTCTCACTTCAAAAGTAGCAATCTTCGCCACTTGCCCATCGACTTCAACTTTTTTTGTTGCTTTCTTCGAAGAAAAGGAAAAATTAATGTCTGTCTAAACATCGGCGACAGAAAAGTAGAACTATGTTTCGGTTCAACAGGAATTAGAACACGCGAACTTCGATTGGAAGCAAGCGTAACGCGACATAATAGGGCACGGGGTTAAGTTCGGCCAAGATTTCGGCGATTTTCGGCAGTGTGCGACGGTGAACAGGTGAGGGTGAGAAACAACAAGGGAAGAGGGTGAGGGCGGTTGCGAGAGGGTGCAAGAACACGTACCGGTGGTCAGGTTTTCGGCGATGGTGGGGGATGGCGACCGAAGAGAGAGATATAGATAGAGAAACACGGTACGCGAGAGAGTAAAAGAGAGAGGGAGAAAGGGAGAGAGAGAGACAGAGCGCGCGCGCGAGCGAGAGGAAGAGAGGGAGAGCAAGGGGGAGCATGGCGCAGGTGTGCGCCGGTAGCCCGGCCGCTGGCATGGTACTCCGCACGCCTTAGGTGCGCGTGTGCGCCGAAAGAACCGACAGTACGAACAGAGAGAGAGTTGTTAGAATGTGTGAGTGCGCCTGTGCGGTACACAGTGCCACGAAACCCTCCAGTTTGATCGCGAGCGAGGCGAGTGCGGCACTAGCACACTAGAGAGCCGAGAGGGGTTGGTATACTAGCTTCTGCTATCGCCGGGGGTAGGGGGTCAACGGGGGTTCACAGTTAGAGTCGCAGTTCGAGACACTTTGGCCCGCGAGATACCGGCCAATCGGCAGTGAGGAGGGGGGGAAGGGGTGGAACCGTAGACTGTACCATCTAGGTAGACAAAGTAACAGATAAGTCTGGAATCGTAGACAATAGGGATGAAAGGTGGATCGGTGGTTCGCTGGGCAGCGAATGGACAAGCGGACACGCAAGGTCTGGGTTAGGTGATAGACAAGAGGAATGAATGGTAGACGGATAGACACTGGTGGGCAGGGAATAGACAGCTGGGTTAATTAACATATGAGCTGAGATAGCAAAGTTGAGATAGCGATAGTTGCGCAGCGAGTAGGCAAGCTAATTGCGGTGGTCAAGGCAGGCAAGCACTGGATCAGCCTCTAGTTAAGTAGATACGCAGTTACGTGGTCAACCAGCGGATAGATAAGTCAGTTAGAGTCACGGAGGCAGGCAGGTTGCTCTGAGTTAGCTCCTAGTTGGACAGCCTACGTAGCTAAACGGTTGAGCAACGAAGGACGGATCAAGAGGCAGTACTGGGTCAGCCTCTAGTTAAGTGGATATGCAGCTATACGGTCAGGCAGTGGATAGATCGGTAGTTAGCTCCATCGAATTAGATAGGGAGCTACGAATTAGTTTCAGATAGGTAACCCGTGTATAAATGCGTCAGTTAGAGTAGCCGAAACTAGTAGATAGCACTGGGCCACTCTCTGGTACAGTAGATGCGTGGCTATACGATCGGACAGGGAATAAACAAGTCAGCCAGAGGGTCATGACATTAGATGTGCAGCTTTGCACACGTTTTCGGTATAAGACATCTAAGCAATTAAACTAACTAGTTGGTTAGGCTGGCTGGAAGAAGCAGGCAGTTTTGGATTAGCCCCTGGCCAAGTAGCTAGGTAGCCAAGTAGCTAGACAGCGAATAAAGAAGCCGGTTAAAAACTTGTACCTAGACAGCTCTGACATAGGTTCAACTTAACCAGGTAGACAAGTCGGTTAACGAATTCTACATAGATACACAGCCCTGGGTTTCCAACTGACCCAGCCAGGTGAACAACCGAAGTTTCCGAGGGCAGTTCCGCGTTCGCTGCCAGTTAGTTGTCTATGCGATTGTTGTTAACGTCGGCCGTTCCGGCGTTAACATTGATACCAGCATTAACATGGGATAGCTGGGAGACTCGGCATGGAATAGACAGTCGTTGGTTGGTCGGGGTGGTCTCGTTCAGGTAGGCAGGTAGGCATGCAGGCAGCGATGCAGGCAGCTAGCCAGATGGCGAGGGTAGGAGCAAGCAAGGTGGGCGGTCGAAGGGGTAGTAACGGATAGTAAGGGGAGATCGGGGGTGTTCGGAAGGGGATGCCGGAGGTGGCGGCGTACAGGGGGCGGCAGGCTGGTGCGTCAGAGCCTGCAGTGAGCCCGGCAGTGAGGCGAAACGTTGGGCTCCGCGCGGGAGTCTCGTGGCCGCCCGCCTTTTCTTTTAAGTCGGGGTGCCTTTTTCCTTACACCCACCCCCCGCCCCTCTTTTCGTCGCCCTCGCGGTTCTACGGACCCATCGTCGTCGTAGTCGTCGTTGTCCTCGTTGTCGTCGCTATCTACTCTCCGAGGCCGAGGCTCGTGGTGTGCATCATCATCGTCGTCCGGGTGCACGAATTCCGTCTCGTCCAGGTGGTGGTGGTGGTGCTGGTTGTTCGACGCGCGATCGTTTTCCGTATCGTCTCGCCGCGATACGATCTTCGTCGACGAAACGGTTGGTCTTTTCGGCGAGTCCTCTTCGCCGTCGTCTAGCGGAAATCCGATCTCGTGGAAAAGGAGAAAGCGAGGGACAGGGGGCGACAGGGAGAGAGAGAGAGAGAGAGAGAGAAAGAGAGAGAGAGAGAGAGAGAGAGAGACGACCGGGACACTCTCGTGACGGGACAGTGCGGCAGCCGGGGAACGAGAGTCCGCAGGATCGTCCTGCAGGATCACCGGTGTGCGTGACCTCCGTCCACATGACACCGAGTGTCCGGTGTGCGTCATTGTGCCTCTTCTCGGTCCAAGGACTCTCGCGGTTTCATCGTAATCACCCCGATAGCGGCATCGCCGAACGATCCTCGTTCCCGAAGCGAACCAGCTGCGAATTTCTCTGTCGGTGTGCATCCGCGGCTTCCGGATGTCTGGCGCAGGACGGGACGGCAGCACGGCGATTCGGCACCGCGGGACTGCAATGCCAATGTCAATGCTAGCTGAAAGACGGTCACGGTGAAATACGCTCGTGTTCTTTCCAGCTTGGCTGGCTGCTGGTGGCCGAGGTAAATCGAAACCGACGAGTAATCCCAGGAAGCGAGAGAGAGCGAGCGAGCGAGCGAGCGAGAGAGAGAGAGAGAGAGAGAGAGAAAGAGATAGCTCGAGTGATTTATGAAGGGTGTTTTTCGATCGGTGAATGTCTGGCTCGTAAGAGAGCGGATTGATCGCCAGTGCAAACTCGGTTTCGGCGCAGAGCCTCGATTTCTCCGCTCGCAGAGAAGCTGTGGGTGCCGCGTGTGGTTCTGTTGCCCGCGACCTCTCTCACGCACCGCCAATGCGGCTGAGATCGCGCGATCTCATTGGCTGCAATCGTGCCGTGGTGTCGGCGATGGGTACGTCCAAGTTCGATGCTCGTGCCGCGCCGTGCCGAGTTGACGCGTGCACTCTATCCTGTCATGCTTGTCGCAACTTGTCTGACTTTTCGCGAAAACGATTCAGCAATTTCTCTTCCGCCGAAATTCTGAACCTCGGGGAACTGGTCGTGTCTCGTCGGGAAACGATCTTCCCGAGGCGGGACTTTTCGCGCACGTTCCCCTCCAAGCATCGTACAACTGCGACCGAAGTTTTATTCATTTTTATTATTCGGTGGTTTAGTCATGGAAAATTCCTAATCTCGTTCTTCACCTTATTTTTCCTATTTCCTAGTAGACGAACTGCGGGACCTTGAGGAAACGATCGTATCTCGGTGTTTCTCTAGTTGAAAATTTTTATATGCATACCTCGAAGCCTTATCTAGCTGCAGCATATATGATCAAAATTTTTATCGAGCGATTTAGTCATGAGAAACGTCGATTCACGTACCCCAGCTTTTTCCCCATTTTACGAACTGCGGGATTGCAAAGGAGAGATTGTATTTTGTTTAAAATCAGGATCAGTTTGCAATGTTTGTACACATCCCGCGAGCAATCTGTTCGACGGTTTAATCAAGAGACAATCTCAATTGCGCGCCTCATTTTTTCTCGCGTCCTCTTTTACTTCGCAAGTGAACGAACATCGTGTCATCGAAGAAACGATCGTATCTCATTGAAAACCGTGTTTCTCGGGCGGAAAATTTTCGGATACGTTCCACGGAGCCTTATTTCACAGTGCTACAGGACATTCACAAAGAAATATTTCCGCAGAAATATCGCGCAGCTCGTTCTTGCTCCTCGGGTTTCCAAGTGAACGAACTTCGCCTCGCGAACGGCTGGCCACTCGAGAGGCATCGCCGAGTATTTTCATCGCGTGCGTGTCGTACCGCGGGCTCGGTCGCGTGGACTGGAATGATTTCTCGTTGTAAATCGCCCGGCCGATAGCGATCGCGATACAAAGAGTGCGATTCCGCGGCCGCCGCCGCCGGCGGCCGCTGCCGCGCCGCGCCGATCTCTCGCAACGAATCGGGGCCTCGTGGCTCGCTCATGGTTCATCGGCAGTTCACCAACAGTTCACCAACAGTTCACCGAGAAAATCACCTGGCCGCGGACTGTGGCCTCTCACGCGATCCTCGAACGTTTCAAGAGCCCGCGCCGACCGTGCAGCTTCGATTAAGTGTCGCTGCGAGGTGCGAAACCGGCACCGAGATCCCTCCGCGATACTTCGGCCGGGTGCTGCAGGCTTTCGGTGCATCCTCTGACCTCTGACGAGGCCACCTGCAACGCTAGCTGCAATGGCAGCTGCAGGTTCGCTTCGAAAAACGTTGCGTTCGCACGTTTCCACGGAGCGAAAATCCATTCGCTTTCTGTTCCGTAGATGCCGGGTGATCTCTCGTTTCTTAATTTGTACGAACGATTCGGTTCGAAGTGCGAAGCAGAGTTCAGTGAAGTGTTTATGCTAGGATCGTCTGTAAAACTATTTCTAAGGAACGCGCGATGGTTCAATCGATCGAAGCTTTAAATCAATTACCTGACTCACAGAAATTCACAATTATATTAACCGCGATATCTTTCACGTTCATTGTGGATGAATGATACTCTAAGCGGAAAGCTATAAATTTAGCTCGACTCAGATCTGATGGAGGTACGGATCGGAAGCGATATAAGTTGCTGCAACACGAATATTTTCCCCGGAGATTTTTAATTACGTACAAGGCGGACAAGCTCTCAGACCAAGGATAAGGAAAATTGCAAGAACGCCGTAAAAATAATGTTGCTCGACACGTTGACGCGCCGAAGAAAAAGAAAACGAACGAAATCAAAGTAACTTAGCTGATGGAACCGAGAGGCTCGTTAAATTTTCTAAACCCTATCAAAATTCGATCTACGATAAAGGTAAATTCTTGAAGATAGTCGAGGAATCGTACGAAACGTTCGCCGCGGCACTCGACGCGTCAATTAATCACTGCTCCCCGGGTCTCTTAACCGCTTCTAACTGCATCCGGGCCGGAAGCGGCTGACACGGTAGCGTTTCTCGGTTTTTCGTTTTCCGGGAACGTTTTCGGTAGTAGTTTCGAGGCGGAGCGGAGGCGGAAAAGCTGGCCTCGGCCGAGGAAACGATAGGCCGGAGGGCGGAATCAAGGTCGTTGATTCGAGCTCTCTCGTTCACGCGACTGGCTCCGTGGTTCTCGGGTGCAACGGGTGCAACGGGCATCGGGAGGCGGTAGGTTTCAATTTTTTCGTGGCACGCGAGCGGAAGCCGATGCTTCGTCTGCGACAGTTTCCAAGGGACCCACGGTTTCCCGGATTTGCACACGTGTTTATTTCTCTTCCGCAATCGATACGTCGATGCGATGTCTATTCGCCAGCTGTCTTCGGCGTCGGTGTACGCGCCGAATAGAGCTCCGATCCGAGCGGAGCCGCGTCGCGAGCGATATCTGCCTTTCTTCTTGACTTTCGCTCGTTGCTGATTAACGCGGTTTGCGGTGGAAACTAGACTGCGTCAGATCTTGCGCAATTTTCATTAGCGCAAGTGCCTGCATAAAGAAGTTAGCTCTATACTTTCTTATAAAAGTATCTGTATAGCTTTAGCGTTAACCCATTTACGCCATCAATTTCTCGGCATTCGGATAACTTTATCGAGCAATTCTCAAAAGCGTTGAATCGTACATTCGCCGTTAAACCGCGGATTTTACGCGTTGACAGTACTCGTTTATGCTGCTCCTTGCGATTATCTCAAGTTATTTTTATTCTATATACAGAGTGGCCCACAAAAGTGTTCGTACACCTTTCAAAGCGCGATAACTTTTCGAAAACGGAACTAAATGACTTGAATTGTTTTTTTTTTAGGGAACAGAGGGACTAGTCTACTAGACGATGGCTAAAAAGCTTTTTTTTAAATTTTGCTATTACTTGGAATGGAAAGGAAAAATTAAGAATCTTCGTTTTTTAAGTTTTTAAAACGAGAGATTTTTATTGTTTCGTCATCCCAAATAATAGCAAAATTTAAAACAAGCATTTCAGTCATCATTTAGTACACTAGTCTCTCTTATCATCTAAAAAGAAAATTTATGTAATTTAGTTCAGCTTTAAAATAGTTATTGCATTTTAAAAAGTGTACGAACGCTTTTGTCTGTTTATCGCTAAACAAGGGAAACAATTTATCGGTGTGATAACTGCACGGTAGCTTTGTGCGTAGACAGCTTCCAGTGGTGGCGCATAGCACAATCGATGGTAAGGTCATTATCTTCCATTCTTCCTCTTGCGATGCAAATGGGTTAATCCTTCTCGTTGTTTGTATTCCTTCGAAGCTTGCGGCAGGTATTATTCGTGACTCGATTCGATGTAAATATAGAATGGTTTCTTGCATCTTTCGAGCTTGCATACGCCGTGAATGCAGAAAATATGCGCATAGTTAAAGTGTCAGTCATTAATGTCCCGAGAAAAACGTTGTCGTTTGATTGCTCACATTGGAAGCCGACACCCTCGTGTTTAGAAAAAAATTCACGAGGCTCACCAACGTTTCTCCGTCGGTTTAGCGTGACCGTGTGCGTCACGGGGTTAGGGTACCGTGACGGATCAAAAAGGCTCTCTTTGCGGGCGATTCGCAACGAAAGAAAAGCGAGCGTTCGATCGATGCGAGGTTTCGCAACTTTATTTAACTGTAAACTGAACTGCAAAATGTGGCCGGTGTAATTAAAACAATCGCGTCATTCCCGGGCCCAGAGCATCGTAGAGTCGATTCGATAAGCTGAAATTTATGGCGTCCGCTCGCCGAACCATCTCGAAAACGCTCGCCGACTTTCCAGCGAAATTTTCTTGACGCAATTTAAGAAGACCTTCTCCGAAGTGCAAACAGCGTTTAATTCGATTACATCCTTGCGTTCGGCGAAGAACTGTGTCATCAGCCACGGCCGACGCAGGCGTCGAATCTCCAAGCTCATAGGATTAGAAACGGTCTCGCGGAACGCATGCTAGCGACTCTAATTCATCGGAGAACCACACGGAGATGTAGACGCTTATTGCGAAATGTCTCGCATGAATTCCCGAATGTCAGCCACCGAATGCGCCGCATTCGACTGAAAACCGGAGGTCTTGACGCATAAAGGCTGCT